CCCCAAAACCCCAAAACCCCCCATGCTAATATATTTTACGAATTAAAATAAATAAATCAAATTTAATGAAAATTATATCAAATGAATTAATCATATGTATTGTTAATCATATACAATGGTTAATAGACTATAATAAGCTGATAAAATAATCAAAGATTATCAGAAAGCTCTAGTCATTCATCTCTTATTTACATTGAATTTAGTTGAAACCGCAATTAATATCAAATCAAATATTCCAAGAACAGCAAAGCATCCTTCAAGACCAATAATCCTGAAAAATAATGTAAAAATTGATAAGTAAAAAATTATTCCTATGTTTTGAAATAGATCCATAAACCCTAGAACTGCCCCTCTAGATTATGCTGCTTAGTTTTTTTGGAAAATTATATCTCGAGCAATATTTGCCATTCCATTTCCTATAGACATTAGAACAATATTAGCTGATAAATGTCTTGGATTCGTAACATCAATAAAAAGAGGCATCAGAAGAGAGCTAGCTCTAAATAATTGAGCAAATAAAAGCAAAAGTCTTGGTCGTATTTTATCAAGTAACTTTATCAAAGGTATTTATATCAAAAAATTAAGTCCACAAGAGAGGGCAAGTGAAAAAGCTAATAACTCAAAAGCTTATTTCTCATCTTTTATATTAGATAAAATCCAAAGAGTATAACCGTTTGTGCCAAGCACTACTCCCATTCTTACTACAAAGTTTTGAATTATGCAGAATATTAAAATCTAGTTATTCTTGCATTCATAGAAACCTTTCCTGATATTACTCCAATAAATTGATATTTTATCTTATTTCTTCTGATTAGTGATAGAATTTTTATTCTTAAGAGATCCTATAATACATTATGGATCTTAGGGTTCTCTGAGTGAAAAAAATAGAAATATGCCAGTTAGAAACATTAGTAAAGCAATGATATTGTAGCTTATCTTTATAGATGTATGAGCGATAAGATTTAAGAATAGAATTGGAGACATAAAGTTACCCAAGTACCTCATAAAATTATTATATATTATTGCTTTACCTATACTTTCATTTTTTACATAGTCTGCTATTAAAGTATTGTTTATCATTGAGTTATTTTCGACATGAAGTATAATTCTAATAAGAGTAAAGTCAAGCCATATTCTAGCCGAGTATGGAAGGATTGCACAAAGAACTGCAGTCGTCAAAAATAAAATAGTCATCCAATTCCTTCTCCCTAAAACATCCAATAGACCCCCAACAAAAGGACTTACTACAGCTAAAGTTATGACTGTCATCATATAAATTAAACTGCTTATCTTTATTAGCTCTTCATCATTACTTAAGCCAAATTAGGTTTTGAGAACAATATTTGCTGTTGTACCAAAGAATGTCACAGCGAGATTTCCCATTATTGAGATAATATATATGCTTATTCCAGTCAATAAAGAAACATGCTCCTTTAAAATTATTCCGAATAAATGCCTTGTATGACTCGTTATGTTAATAACTTCTTCTCAAGAATGTTTTTATGTGCTGTTGAATTAATTGTATAGAGGTACATTCTGAGAATACTCTTATTATTCCAATTCTAAAGAGTATATTAAATTTTGGAATGAATCTGCAGGCTTCTTTTAATCTTTCTATATTTAATTAGTACTCATCTGATGAAACCACTTGAATAAATACAAATTTTCTTAAATAAAATAATTAAATATCTAGAAAAATTCCTCTTTCCAATGATCATTCCATTTAAATCAATCATGGGGTTTTGGGGTTTTGGGGTTTTGGGG